TCTGGGTGGTAAGTACCTGGGACAGGTGTGACTTCTGGCTTTTTAGGAGGTGCTGCTGGTCTTGTCTTTTCAGGGACAATTTCTTGGACTTCAGGAGCTTAAAAGATTTTAGTAGTTTTATATTTAGTTAATGAACAATAATGCATTACATTTACTTTCAAGAATGGGAGAGAGGTCTTCTGAGAAGGTCTGGGTGACAAGTACCTGGGACAGGTGTGGCTTCTGTCTTTTTAGGAGATGTCCCTGGTCTTTTCTTTTCAGGGACGATATGTTGAACTTCAGGCACTTAAAAGATATTAGTAGTTTTACCACGCAGGTTAGTGAAGACAACAATCTACATTTGTTTTCAAAAATGGGAGAGAAACCTCTCTGATGCTAGTTCAGGTGGCATGTACCTGGGACAGGTGTGGCATCTGCCCTTTTGGGCAGTGCCTTGGGATTTTTTTTTTTTCTGGAATAACTTCTTGAGGGGCATCAGGCACTTCAAAGACATTAGTAGTTTCAGAAATTATGGACTACAAAGGTACATTTTATAAGAATATTGAGGGTTACAAGGTATTTTTTTTTCTTGGGGTGGGGTAGTAAATTACTTTTCACAAGTGGGACCTGAGGTTTTTTGGGTACAGACAACTTCTTTTCAAGTACAACTGCTTCAGAAACTTTGAAGATATTAGTAGCTTTTAGTTAGAACTATAAAGGGCACACCAGTGGTATGTTTATTCAGGTTGATACAGTTAACAAAACTGGTGGCCAGACCCTGGAACACACTTTCCCCAGCCTAACACAGGTATTCAACAACATGTAAGGACACATACCTTTGGCAGGTGGAACTTCTGGTTTCTTCGGAGGAGCCACTGGAACTTTCTTTTCAGGGGTGACTTCCTTTGGCACGTCAGGCACTTCAAAGATAATTTGTAATTTGTGTTTAGAAAAGGCTAAATCAATTGATGTCTATAGTATATAATCATGTAAGACATATTAGATAGTTGCTGACATTTTTATTTATATTACCTTAATGCACTAATACATTTATATAGTATTTTATATATACACTTTATATACCAACGTGTAATACTTTGGTTAGAATCGATATTTATCGCCCTCTGAGTGTAGTTCTGACTGTACCTTCAGGGGGAGGACTTTCCGGTTTAGGGGGGATGGCTTCAGGTATCTTCTTTTGGGGAACAGCTGCCTTTGGCACCTCAGGCACTTCAAAGATATTAGTATTTTCATGATCAGACAGAGGAAACACAAATGGACACTACCAAGCTCAGTGACGTGGGGGTGACTACCTTCAGCGGGTGGGACTTCAGGCTTTTTAGGAGGGGTGACTGGCACTTTC